CCGGAAGCATCGCCACGAGCGGGCAGGCCCACGCCTGAGCCGGTTGAGGATACCCACCCACACGCACACACACACACACACACACACGCACACACACACACGTATTCCCGCACAGACACACAGACAGACACACAGACACACACACAAACACACACACACATGCACGCATGCACGCACGCACGCACGCGCACGCGCACGCGAACGTGCACGCGCACACGCACGCGCACGCGCACGCGCACACGCACGCGCACGCGCACGCGCACGCGCACGCGCACGCACACGCACGGACACAGACACACAAACACACAGACACATTAGTATTAGCGATACTGGTGCGATGGGAGACAACGGAAGACCACAGCAGACCACGGCGCCCGACTGATTCCGAATCCCACGGTCCACACACCAGGTTTTTCAGATACCAAGCACAGGACGTTCACAATCAAGCTGTTCAGGGAAACGCACGTAACGTAACGTGTACACACATACACACACGTGCCGTGCGCCCGCGACCGCACCCGCACCCGCGCGCGCACGCGTACACGCACGCACACAAAGCCACACACACACACACACACACGCACGCAGACGCACACACAGACACAGACACACAGACACACACACACACACACACACACACTCGGAGATTTCTCCAGCGCCCACTTGTTGGGGTCTCCTTTCTAGCCCTCGAGGAGCGCCCTTATGAACTCGGTTTGAGGGCCGAGTTTTAACACTTGTTTGATGTATGTAGTCCGTAGCCTCTGGCTCACGCCATCGTGGCTCAAGCCGTTGGCTTGAATCGCTTGTAAAAATTGTGCATAGCACCCGAAACCAGAGAATTGAATTGTCCTTCGGTTGCGCCCCCTGTGTTCGCCGACGTCCACGCGCAGTCAGGAAGCGGCATCGGCGTCGGTGCTGACAGCAGGCGGCGCACCTGTTGACAGTGGCCAGGCAGAGAATTGGAACTCATGACGTCGGAATGGCGGTGGCCCCCGCCCTCCGCGGGGTCGCGGCCAAGCTGGCGGCTAGGCGAGCCGCTGGGCACCTACTCCCTCAACGACAACTTCGAGCAGGCCTTCGACGAGGCCGGGCTCAAGCGCTTCGACGCGGGGGCCGCGGGCCAGCCGCAGAACGTCTTCGACGGCTTCACGGAGGAGGCCTACGCGCTGTACCAGGCGCGCCGGGCGGCCTACGAGGGCTCCTCGAGGCCCTTGGATGACATGCTTCGCTGGCACGATCGCCACGCGGATCAGCCGGCCTTGGCGGGCTGCCGCCTTGCGCTGACCAGGGCGCTGCTAGTCAAGATCCTTCGCTCGCCCAGCGACCGCCACGGCGGTTGGAAGGCCGTCGCCGTGCGCAGGGGTGCCACGGTCTTCCTGGCCGAGGTGGCGGAGCCGAGCCGCAAGGGCGGGGACAGCCGCGTGCTCTGGTCCGGGCTCCGCTTTCAGGCCAGCCTCGCGAGGCCTGCCGAGGGCGCGGCGCCGGCGGGGCTGGCAGGGGCCAAGCAGATGGTCGTCGTGCCCGCCTCGCTCTCCTCGGGGGGCGGCGCCCTGTCGGTGCTCGTCTTCTCCGGAGTCGACTGCGTCCAGGAGGCCGCAGGCGGGCGGGCATGCCACTGGCTGAGCCCCGAAGGCCGCAGGCTCTGGGTGGACATGGCCTGCACGCAGTGGAGGGAGAACGCGAGGCGGCCGGGGCAGCCGTTCCTGGCGCCCCAGAAGGCGCTCGAGTACATCTTGAAGCTCGAGGTTCTGGAGATCCCGTCGCTGGCGCTGGGCATGCGCGACGACCTCGGCGAGATCAGGAATCGGCCGGGGCGTTTGCTCAGCGCTCAGGGCATCGCCTCGATGACGCATCGGCAGGCGCTCGAGAGGGACCTGGAGGCCTGCTGGGGTTCCTTAGCGGAGGTGCTCTTCATCGCTGCTGCCACTGAATTCAGGAGCGTGCTTGAGTTCGTGCCCGCTGCCGGCAAGTCCGCGGGAAAGGGCGAGTCGGGGACGCTGCGGAGGCGGCCGCTGAACGAGTCCGAGGAGGCAGTCTTCGGCGCGGGCGCCTCTGGCACGGATGATACTGAGGGTCCGGGAGGTGGCCTCGGTGAAGCGGAAAGACAGAGGCTCGTCGCGCCTTCTGTCACGCCCCCTCCGCAGCCCGCGGCCGCTCCAGAGCACTCGCAGCGTGGGGAAAGGCACGTGGCGGGCGGTGGCGGGACCGGCTCGCCCTCAGCTCGCGACGCGGGCGGAGGTGCGGCGACTCGCTCTGGCCTTCCGTCGGGGGCGAGAGGGGCTGTGGGCGCAGACTGGTCCATTGAGCTAGACGACGATGAGGATGAGGATGATGCGGACGGCGAGGATCGAAGAATAATCATTTGTATAAGCATGAATTGTCAGGGCTCCGAGCGGATTGCTCGGGTCGGCGCTGGGTCCCCCTGGCAGCGCCCCCGGCGCCACACCTGGCGCGCTCCGCGCGCCAGGGGGGGGGGGGTAGGGGTCCAGCGCCGATCCAAGAGATCCGCGCGGAGCGCCACAAGTTTATGTTTATGCAGTTTCCTCGCCCTCCAGAGGATTCAGAGGCCCTCCGCGGCGCTATCAGGGGACGCCTCGAGTCCGTCGTCGTCTTGCTGCCCGAGGGTTCCGTCGACGACGCGGTGTCCACCATGCTGAGCAACTTCGTGGAGGACCACGGGCGCTACCTCGTCACTGCCGAGGTGGTCAGAGCCAGCCGCTTCGGCGCGCAGGACGGCGACGGGCTGCTGGTGCAGGTCAGGGCCCCGCTGGGGATCGCGCGAGACCCGCTGCTCCTCCTGGGGGGCATCCTGGCGGAGGCGACGGGCGAGGCGGAGGCCCCCGTGCTGCGGGTGCGGCAGCTGGAGATCCCACAGGCCGAGCACGCGCCCCTCGGCGTGCGGGCGCTGGCCACCACCTGCGGCCTGCGCGTGGTCCGCGGCGGGGCCGATGGCCTCGAGACGAACGACCTCATCCTGGCAGTGGGCGGGGAGCTCCTGCGCGGCTCACCGGGCTCCGTCGGCGCCCGCTTCCGGGAGCTCGCTCGCCCGGGCGCTTCCGTCACCGTGGCGCGCAGCATGCCGGCGCCCTGGATCTTCGGCGACGTCGGCAGCCTCGGGCTTGGAGCAGAGGCTGCGACGACTTGGTGGAACATCGGGGAGCCGCAGCAGTCGCAGCAGTCGGGCTCTCCCGGCAAGAGGCCTCAGCTCACGGACGGCGGCAAGTTCGAGGGCGAAGTCGTCAAGGTGATGGCGGACAGGAATTTCGGCTTCGTGCGCGAGGGGCACGTGGGCGCGGGCGAGCTGTTCTTCAGCCTGGACACGGTTCAGGGAACGGCGGGCCTGCCTCTCTGCCCCGGGGACCTCGTCTCGGGGGTCAGGCAGATCGAGCAGAGCGGCCGAGCCAGGGCTGGCCGCCTCGTCGCAGTAGCGCTGCGGTCCCGCCAGCGACGAGCCGCAGAGGTGTTCGACCACGTGGAGAAGCTGCTCGGACAGCTCGAGGACGAGCAGCATCAGCGAGAGGCCGTCCTCTACGCGACGTCCTCGCCCGCCTTCTGGTCCCGCGTGGTCGAGGACCTGGCGGAGGCCGAGAGGGAGGGCCCAGCTGCGGCCGACGGCCACGAAGACACGAACCCTGATGTTCGCCAGAACCGCGACGACCTTGGGCGGCTAGCAGCCAGGGTGGCGGACAAGCTCCAGGACAAGATCGCTGACCTGCCGTGCCAGAGTCAGGAGCTCTCCGTGAGCCAGGTCTTCTTCACGCAGGGAGACATCTCGCCGAAGTTCGGGGCTGGCGGGAGCTTTGCCACCTTGATCGGGCACCTGCTGCAGGGGAAGATCACGCTGAGGGATCCACGCTTGGAGTTGATGGTTGTGAGGCTCGGAGGCCGCTACCGCTCGCTGAACAATCGCCGCCTGTACAACCTGAAGCAGTTTCAAAAGGACTGCTGCCCGCACGAGGACATCAAAGTGCCCGCTCGCGTCTACAAATTGTGCCGGGTGACTGCGCGGGTGATCCTGAGTTTCTGCTTGGCACGGAAGGTGTCGATGATTCGAGCCCGGCAGGCAGCTTTGGAGACCATCGTTGCCGACGCCGACGCCCATGCCCGGGCGGTAGAGTCCACGGCGACGCGAGTGCAGTTGGGTGGGGTCCTCTTCCTCGGCCTCCACTTGGGCCTGGACTCTCCACACCCACTCGTGGCAATCGTCGACGGTGCGGTGGTCGCTCTGGACGACGCCCACTGCGGGTGGAAGTCGGCGAGGTCCTCTGCTGGAGGCTACGTCCAAGCCCGCGCGCACCCACTGTGCCCGCTGACGATGAAGTTCCTCAGACACTGCTCCTCCGAGAACGACGGCGTGCGCGTGGCGGTGCGGCTGAAGACGGTGACGGCCGACTGGGTGCTCTCTCGCATGTTCGGCGCCGCGCTCGAGCTTGCCAGGCGCCTCCGCGCCCCCAGGGTCTTGGAGGCCTTCTCGGCCGCCCTGGGGCCCCCGGCCCTCGCGGCGCTGCGCGAGGACCCCGGAGGCCTGGCCGAGCCCGTCGTGGACTTCTGCGGCCAGCTGGCGCGGAGCTGCCCGCAGGCGGCGCAGGCCGCGTGCCCCGTGCTCCACGGGCTCCTCGCCGCGGGCCGCCTGCCCGCCGACCGGCTCTTTGGGCTCTTCGAGGCGCTCGCCTCCTCGCGGGCGTGGCAGCACTCCGGCGCCGTGCGCTGGAGGCACACGCCGGCCGTGCCGTCCTGCCGCGAGGTGGGCGAGGCACTGGCGGGCGTCGCCAGGCCCGCAGCCCTGCCCAGCGTCCTGATCGACAGGCCCTACGCCTCGAGGGAGGCCTACTTCGACACCTACTTCCGCCTCCTGCGCGAGGACGCCCACCACGGCCTCCGGGAGTCGCTGGCCTGCCTCCGCGAGGGCCAGCCCTGCGAGGACGGCAGCGCGGCCCCGGCGGTCTTTGTGGGCTGCGGCTTCGCGGACGCCGACCGGGCAGACGGTCGCCTCAAGCTCCAGTTCCGCATCGAGCTCCCGCCCGAGAGGCTGCGGCGAGCCAGCCGGCACTGGATGTACCGAAATCTGGTCATCCTCCTGGCTGGCCAGGGCGCTTTCGTCGAACGAGCCCTGCTCATGCGGCACGAGTCTTCGGGCGGCCGGGCGATGGTGTGGCTGGAGTGCTGCGACCGAGCCGCGCCGGGCGGCTGGACGCGCGTCCTCCTCGACGCCCTGCGGCAAGGCGTGCTCCTGGTTTTCAGCCCCACCTACTTCTACCCCTTCGAGCCGGTGCTGAAGGCCCTGCAGCTCGCGGAGGAGGAGCCGTTCTCCTTCGAGGCCGAACTGGTGGCCGGCCAGCCTTCCACTTGCTCGCCCATGGCGCTCAGCGAGAGCGTCGATTGCTCTGCCCTCCGGTCACTGGACGGCACTCGGCCAGACAACGGCAGCGTGCTCTGCGTCTGCGGCGCATCTGCGAGCACGGCCGACTTCGGAGTGGAGGTCCCAGGTGGCAGCGCGCCTATCAACGTCCGCGGCCTCTTCGTCGCCAGCTCGGGCAAGGAAGGGCACCTGTGGGTGGAGACTTCTGGTGCGGCCCCAATCATGGTAGTGGGCGCAGCGTCTGGTCTCCTTGGCGACCTCACCTTGCAGCCGAGGCCACATCCAGGGGCACGGCTCCTCAGCCCGGGCGACGCGGCGGAAGTGCAGGAAGGCGCGTGGCTCGTCGCGTGCTACGAGGAGGAGCCAACGGTCTTCCGCGTGGTCAGGAAGCGTGGGTGTCTCGTGGGAGCAGTGGCTCTGCTGGAGGACCAGGACGTGCCACTGCGCCTGGACCCGAGCCAGCGTGAGGCCGCGGCATATGCTTTGCGGAACCGCGTGGCGCTGATCCAGGGGCCGCCAGGCACCGGCAAGACCTTGCTGGGCCACGCCCTGCTGGAGATGCTGCTGCCCAGGAGGGTCCTCGTGGTCACCTACAAGAACCACTGCCTGGACGAGTTCCTGCTCAAGTGCGAGAAGTCGTCGTTCGTGCGCATCGGCGGCAGCCGCCACCCCGAGCTGGACGAGCGCAACCTGCGATCCCTGAAGCGCAGCCTGTTGTCCCCGGAGGGCAGGAAGAAGCGGCAGGAGGAGATCGGCTTCGCTTAAGAGTGACCCTTCGCCGGAGTGACCTTTGGTGCGGGCTCACAGGGGTCTCCCGGCGCTGGCCTGCGCGCTTGGCTTCGGCCGACCCGCGGCCCCCTGAAGCCGCACACGAAAGGTCACCCTTGCCTGGGGTCGATCTGGCGTGCAGTCGAGGAGAGCCCTGCAGAGGTCCAGCTTCGCATCAGGCACATGCGGCTTCGAGACGAGGTGCAGCAGCTCCGCGCACGCGCCCGAGGCCTCCTGCGCAGCTCCGCTGCGGCGCTGGAGCTCTCCGCGGAGGTCTTCCTGCGGTCCACGACCAACGAGCAGCTGGCCCTTTTCCTCGGGCGGCCCGCCTTCCAGCGAATGCAGGCTGAGGTGCGCCGGAAGGCTGGCGACCAGCACCCCGTCTCCTGCTGGTTCTCCTTCATCCGCGACGGTGCCGGCGCCGAGGCTGGCCCGGAGCTGGCCGCGCTGCACCAGCGCCAGAGGGCTCAGGTAGAGGACCTGCTGCTGCAGTGGTTGCCGCCTGCCAGCCTCTTCGCTTCTGCGTCGAGCGACGCGCCTGCCTCCCCCCACTTCGCCGCCTGGTCGGCCGCCGCGGCAGCCAGCGGAGGGGACGCCCAGGACGAGCCCGAGGAGGTGGAGGAGGAAGTGGACGGCCGGCAGCAGTTCGCAAAGGAACACCTGCGGGCCTCGGCGAGCGAGCTCAGTGAGGTCGTCACCTTCCAGCCGTCGGGCCGGTGGCCGTTGCTCGCGGCAGACGGCGGCCCAGCCGACGAGGGCAGGGAGGCGCGCCTGGCCCGGTCGGCGCAGCTCTGGCGGCTGTCTCAGGAGGATCGCGCCGCCGTCGTGCAGACGTGGCTGCGCCAGGCTCAGGACCGCGCGGCCGAGTGGCTCGAGGCGGTGCTGGAGGAGCTTCGGGAGGCGGCCCAGGAGCTGGCCGAGGTGGAGCGCCTTGTGGAGCTCGACGTCCTGGGCGGCGTCAGCATCGTGGGCATGACGGTGACGGGGGCGAGCATCCACGTCGAGCTCATCCGGCGCTGGCGGCCTGAGGTTGTGCTCGTGGAGGAGGCCGCCGAGGTGCTGGAGCCGATGGTCATGGCTTTGCTGGGCTCCTCCGTGAAGCACCTCATCCAGATCGGCGACCACTTCCAGCTGCCCCCCAGGGTGGAGAACCACGAGCTGCAGGTTGGCCATTTCTTCGCAACGAGCCAGATGGAGCGGCTCATCGGGCTGAAGTTCCCCCACAGGAGCCTCTGCGCCCAGGGCAGGATGCTGCCCTCCATGCTGGACCTCGTCGCCCCGAGGTATCTGAGGGCCAACGTGCAGCTCACCACGAACATGAGCGCCGTCCTCGCCGCCGGCCTGGAGCCCCCGCCGTTCCTGGGCTCCGAGGTCTTCTGGTGGGACTGCCGGGGCACGATGACCGCGGGCAGGAGCAAGAGGAACGAAGAGGAGGCGGGCCGTGCCCTTGCCTTGGCCTTCTACATCGTGGCGCAGGGCGTGGAGCCGTCCAGAGTCACGATCCTCGCGGCCTATCTGGGGCAGGCGGGCCTCCTCCGGAGCCGCCTCGCTCAGGAGTTTCCGGCGCTGCGCCGTCGCCTGGGGCTGGGGGAGGAGCTGCGGCAGGTGTCCGCGGAGGTTCCGGAGGAGCTGCTCCGCGACGGGCAGCTCACGGTGCCGAAGCCCAAGCCGGCGGCCCAAGTTTTCGCGAGCGAGATTGCAGGGTCGGGCTCCCGCCAGCAGGGGGCGGCGGAGCTCCGCGACGTGACCGGGCGGCCGATCTCGCCGGGCGTCTACAGTGCCAGCGCGAAGGACGCCAAGGGCGTCCGCTCGCTCACCCCCATCTCGATCCTGGAAGAGGACGCCATCAAGGTGCACACCGTGGACAGGTACCAGGGCGATGAGAACGACTACGTCATCGTGTCCTTCGTGCGGTCGGAGTCGGAGTGCGGCGACGAGCCGCAGACGATCGGCTTCCTCGGAACGCCCGAGGGCGGCAATCGGCTGCTCGTGGCCCTGTCTCGGGCGCGCCGCGGCCTCTACCTGATCGGGAACTCCCAGTGGCTGGAGGCCGCCCGCGGGAAGACAGACCACTGGAAGGAGCTCTTCAGCACGCTCCGCGGCAAGGGCTGGATGGGAGCCAGCCTCGTGCTGCGGTGTCCGAGGCACCCCGAGCGGACGCTGGAGGCCAAGCGCCCCGCCGACATAGACTTCGCTCCGTGCCGTCAGCCCTGCGGCGCCCAGATGGGCTGCGGCGTCGAGGGCCACGTCTGCCCGCGGCCCTGCCACGCGCCGGAGTTCCTCCACAGCGCAGGGGCGTGTCGCGTCCCCGTGTCTGCCAGCTACAGCTGCGGCGAGGAGCCCAAGCACGTCTTCGAGATGCTGTGCTACCAGGCCCAGTCGGCACACCACTTCAGGTGCCCCTTCACGGAGGTGTCGGCATGCGAGCGCTGTCCGCAGCACGTCTTGAAGCGCCTCTGCGGCTCGCCCTTGGCTCCTTGTGTGGCGCCCTGCGAGCTGACGGTGGAAGGCTGCGGCCACCAGTGCCAGGAGCTGTGCTGCATGCCGTGCACCACGCAGCCAAAGTGCAGAGCGATGAGGGCCTTCTCGTGCCCGCAGGCAGACGGGCACAGGAAGATCATGGCCATGTGCTGCGAAGGCTCGCCGGAGGGCCGCTGTGGCGCGGCCCTTGCCCAGCGCTGCCTGAGCGCATGCGCGCGCCGCCTGCCGTGCGGGCACCCGTGCCCGCACAGGTGCGGAGAGGCCTGCCCCGAGCAGTGCCCGGCGCCCTGCGCCCTGAGCCTGCCGTGCGGCCACCCCTGCGCGGCGCCGTGCGGGGCTCCGTGCCAGTGCAGGGCGGAGGTGGAGGTGCCCGGCGGGTGCCCGCGCCGCGGCCACCGCGTGCTCGCGGCGTGCGGAGAGGAGGCCACGGCGCTCTGCGCGGAGGCCTGCGGAGAGGAGCTGGGCTGCGGCCACCGCTGCCGAGGCGCCTGCGGGCCGTGCCGCCGGGACGGCCACCCGGTCTGCCAGCAGAAGTGCAAGCGGCTGCTGCCGTGCGGCCACAGGTGCCGCGGGAAGTGCGACGAGCGCTGCGACCCGGGCGGCTGCCGCAAGACCTGCGGCGCAGATCTCCCTTGCGGCCACAGGTGTGCCGGGGTCTGCGGGGCCTGCGTGCAGTCTGGCTGCCACGCGGAGTGCAAGAGGTGCCGGCCGAAGGCCTCCAGCCAGTCGGCCTGAACTCATCGGTTCAGATAGAATTGCGTGGTTGCCATATCTGCCGTGCGCAGAAGTGACCTCTTTCTCTTACGTTCTCGCTTTCTCTCTCTCTCTCTCTCTCTCTCCCTCTCTCTCTCTATATATACATATATATATATATATATATCCCTCTCCGCCGCCCCTTGCCTTTTTGCTTCACAGGGGTGCATGGCGTCCTCAACTTTGAACCGGTTCAAAACATGCCTTACGGAATCACAGTTGCCTTCGTCTTGACCCGCCTGCCACATGGAATAGTTCGGAAATCCCAAATACATCGTTTGCAAGACAGCCGAGATGGTTCTTAAGACGGCCAAGATGGCCCAAGATGGCATCCAAGGTGCCCCCAACATGCTTCAAAGACAGCCAAGATGGCCCCAGGAAAACCAAGACGGCTTTGAGTCGGCCCAATGGAACTCCAACACGGCCCAACATGCCCTCCCAACGGCCCAAGAGCCTCCGAGACTCCACAGGAGGACTCCGAGAGGATTTCCAGGAGGCCAGATGTTCTCGTTCTCGCAATTTCAGGTTTCCGACATCCGAACGCGGGCCCCAAAGTCTCCAAGATCGCCCCTTCACGGACCCAGAGTACTCCAATTGGGCCCCAGGCGGCCCAAAAAGGCTCCAAGACGGCCCAAGAGACCCTTAGAGGCCTTTCTGGGCCGTCGTGGGGCCCTCTTTGAATGCTCGTTGGCCGTTCGGGAGGTCTGTAGGGCCGTACTGGGGCCGTCTTGCGCGCTTCTTGGGCTGTCTGGGGGCCTTCGTGGTCAGTCTTGCGGACCTGATGTGGGCTATATTGGGCTGTCTCGGAGGGATCTTGGGGTCTTATGGGGCCGTCTTGGAGCGTCGACGCCCGAAATGGCCAGAAAGCGCAAATAATTGAAAACCCTCCGGGTAATCTGAGTTGGGCCTCCTGGTGGTCCTCTTGGAGCCTTCTTGGGGGGTCTTGGGGGCGTAATGGGCCGTCTGGAGGGCATCTTGGGCCGTCTTGGGGCCATCGTGGGCCGTCTTGGAGGCGTCTTGGGGCCGTCAAGGAGGCCATCTTGGAGCCATCGTGGGCCGTCTTGGAGGCCATCTTGGAGCCATCGGGAGCGGAAGAGCCGGTGCCCCGCACCTATTTCCGGGTGGCCGGCGCGAGCGGCCGAGGCCCCATTGGCACCCCTTTTGGAAGGACCGGAACAGCCTCAAGTTCTCGAACGTCTGATGCTCCCTCCTCCTCATCCTCCCCCTTCTCCTCCTCCTCCTCCTCCTCCTCCTCCTCCAGCCGCCGCTCTGGCACACAGGAGCGACGGGCGGCAGGGGGAGGCAGGCCACGAGGCCTCCCGCTGGGCACCAGGCGGGCGAGAGTGCGCGCAATGGTGCGGCCCGTGGGCCAGTGGGCGCTGCGTGTACTCGGGTTCAACCCGCTGTGCGCCACGGGCACCAGGATGCAGGAGATTGTTCAGAGCTGCGCGAACATGGATCTGGTATTGTTGGCAGGCACCCAGAGGAGTCATCGCAGAGTAGAAGAGGTGCTGACCACTCGAGTACAACATCGGCTCATATTAGAAGCTGAAGCGACAACATCGCAGTTTTCTAACAAGTCCACAGGATGTGCGATCATATTAGGCAGCAAGTTCAATGAGAAGCATGTGGGACAAGTGTGGGCTAGTCCATCTGAGGCGGGAGGGAGGGCGGTCGCTGCTCGTATTCGTCGAGGTCCTTTGGACTTAGCTGCAGTGGCAATGTACCTACCGCCCCAACCGAAATATGCAGCGGAACAGCCCCAGTATATGGCCACGGTGAAGTTGATTGGATCATGGTACGAAAACATACTTCAGAGCCTACCGTGTCGATGCATACCGCTGGTGTACGTAGACCTCAATGATGGCCAGGGGATCTCACGAATATCGGGCAAGTGGACGAGTATCGAGTCGACGGCGGTGGGCGAGGGAAGGTGCAGAGAACAACGCAGAGGAGGAGCTGGTGAAGTATTCAGGCTCATCAACCAACGACAGCACATGTTCGCGATGAATACGCTGAAGAACAAGTTGGAGCACACATGGTACGGCGCGAAGGGCGTAAGCAGTTGTATAGATTATCTTTTCCTCCCGACTGGAATGATTGATATGGTTTCAAGATGTTCCCCTTTATTTGGATTGGGTGCAGAATTACAGGCCTATCGAGGGCCACCACCACGGGACCATGTCCCCTTGTACGTCGAGTTGCAGGGTATGCAGCCACTGGAACGGGAAGCAAACTCGACGGAGACGAGAACGCGCTGGAATCTCGATGATATGATGAGGTGCCTACGAAAAGGACATCGTAGGGGCGAGTTTCTTTCGGCGGTAGAGGCGTCGTTGAATGAGAGCGAGGACACATGGAGGGCTATGCTGTCCATGGGCCGACCTGACGAGATCTTCAAACACATGGAGGACACCCTCGTGAAGGCGGGACAGTAGTACTTCGGTCACCACGTGTCCAGCGATCCTTTGTATCGGCAGGAGGCCTCGGAGCGGGCCGAACTTCTTCGGGAGCGAGCTCGCCTTCGTAGATCGCGAGTGGGTATGAACGAGGAGGATGAAGCATTGGCAGAATGTGAATCGAGACTGGCGCAGCTAAGTCAGAAGTTACGACGTCGGCGGCAGCATTTTGCTCGAGTCCGACAGCAGGGCCTACTTGAGGAGATCGAGGAGGCTTGGAACGACGTCATATGGCCGAAGCGATGCGGCTATCACGGGCAGCAGCTCATTGTCGTTATGGTCCAAAGCGTCGAGACGGCAGGCTGCTCCGTGGAGGTCATCTTACTTCAGAGGTTTTGATCAATCATTGGTCGCAGGCAGGTTGTGAAGGTGGAATGTCAGCATCTGTGATTCCAGATTATGAGGAATGGTTGGAGTCTTTTCCGGCAGGCCCCATACCTTATATTTCGGCAGAAGATTGCATATTGGCAGAGGAAGACAAGCAGCGGGTGACCAAGTATTTTCGCTCGGCCACGAAGCGTCGAGCAGTGCCGACGTGCACGACACCAGCTGAACTATGGCTCCTTTGCCTACGGCCGATGGGAAATATTAGCACAGAGGGGCAGGGTTTGGGCTTCCAGCAGGAGTTTCCAGAGATGAACTTGTTCGGGAAAATCTTGGAAGGGGGACTTCGCTTGATCAGGGCAACGAATAGGACACCGATGAGATGGCACTGTAGTTCGGGGGCACAATTACGAAAAAACGCGAAGCCAGGACCCTCGGGAAGGAGAACGGTTCACGTTTTGTCCACGTTCGGGAAGGCTTTCTACTCGGATCTGCTGTGTGTGCCCCCGATGTTGATCGAGCATGGGTCTTGCCGTGGCCGTAGAAGAGAGGATGCAATTCTAGTAGTGCAGCTTCTCAGTTGGCGGCTCCGTCGAGCGGGGCATAGTTTCGCATGCACGTATAAGGATATGACGAATGCGTTTGCGTGCGGGTCCTGGGAGGAGTTGATTAACACGGTAAACTTACACGCGGCCCCCGAGAACATAGACTTATGCATTCAGCGCTTTAAGAGTAGTGTGGTACGACTGGAGTCTCTGGAAGGGGGGGTCTACTTGAAGTCGGGCGAGGGTGGCACGATGGGGGACCGTACGTAGTTACACTTTTCAGAGGCACGTTCTCTAGGCCAATCATGAAGTGGCTCTGGCGGCTCCGTCAGATCGACCCTCACGCGAAGGAGTTGATCGCACACTGGAAAGAGCTCAGGGCGGATGTCGGTACGAGCGTGTACGCCGACGACCTTTTCAGAGCCCATGTTACAGCCAATTTTTCCACGGTGGGAGAGTTTCTTTCGGTCCTCAGGGAGGCGGATGAGGCGCTTTCGGAGGAGTTGCAGGAGTACGGGTATGCCCAGAATGTTTCGAAACAGGAGCTGCAACTATGTTTCCAGGGACCAGGGGCGGTGAAATGTCGGCAGTGGGTGCGGGTGACGGGACGTTCGAGCATCTCGGGAGAAGTTCAGGAGGACGTTCGGTATTTGGGACCTAGAATTAATCTGCAGCAAACGGCATTTATAGAAGTTCGTGGTCGGATCCAGGCCACAGCGGAGGCCTACTATTCGCTCGGCCAGGTATGGAGTTTATCAGTACCGTTCCGCTGGAAGCGGACTCTATTTCTCAGTTTTGTTCAGAATGCTGCGCTGACGGGCCTGGAGCCAATGCTGTTGACAGCCAAACATCATCGAGAATTGGACGCACTTATAGCTAGATATAGCAGGAGGGCGATGCAGGGGAAGGCGGTGATCAGCAAGGAGGAGGGGAAGAGGAGGACGCTCACAAACAAACAGGTCATGCAGCATTGGCGTCTAGCAAGTTCTGCCACAGAACTTCTTGTTCGCAGGTTGGGCTGGCATCGCAGCTGGGCCCTTCGCCCAGAGTCTCACACGCAGGAGTTGTGCTTGCGTTTCGGCACGATGCCACTTGATCCAGGAGGTACAGCGCTCTCTGGTAATCAAGTTTTACTGTCTCAGGCGTCCCCATGGCTCGTTCGGCTACAGGAAGACTTTCAACATGCCGCCGAGCGGATGGACGAGGGGCAGATCTGCGCGCACATTGCACGATTCCCTGGAAAACTCATCAGTAAGGAAACGGTGTCGGCTCTTGCTCGACTAGACTTCACGGAGATCCGATCCAGGGAGTTGTCGGTCACGTTTCCCCCGACCGATGGAGAGGCTCCGCTCGACAGGGACCCCGAGGCTGAGGACCCCCTTGAAGTCCCTGAACATCTTTGGAAGTGCGACTGGGAGGAGGAGGAGGAGGGGCACATATGCGAACGGGGCTTCCAAACTAAACGAGACCTGCTAAACCATATGCGTCGAGTTCATCAAGTACATAACTTATGTTCGTCAATTACACCAACAAACACCTGTATTGTATGCCGTCGAGTCTTCGGGTCGCAGGGCAATGCGTACAAACATCTACAACGGGCTGTCTTGGCGGGGAGGTGTCCTGCTCGTGGTACTTCGACGTTTCGACAGGTCCAAGCCCCAGGAAGCTTCGATTGTAAGATATGTGTGTACAAGGCGGGTGGGCT